TTACCTGACATTTACCCGTACCTGAGAAGTACCTAACCAGGTTTTACAGGGTGTGTTTACACCAGTTACCTAACGGGACTTATATACATACACGCAACATAAAGTACTCCGAGGAGAATATTAAAATAAGCTTGCAGTTCTTTGTTTGTTTATTTCGTACAAGCTACAAAGCCTCGTAAAAGATTACGACGTATATAATAGTGATATTACTGGGATTACTGGCAAACAACGATTTCATGCAAAATTAAAAAATATATAATATAATTTATCGGCAAGTTCCGAAATTCGCCATGTAGCTAATTTATCAACTCTGAATTTCCCCCTAATTATTGCAAAATCGCGCTGAAATTCCAAGACAGCTAAATGCTGACATCAAAGACTCGAATTTACGTTTGTTGTCATGGAAATTAGCTTCGATCACATTTAGGTCAATGAAAATGTGTTTACACCGCCAGACTGACCTGAGACTTACCTAGGACTTACCTAATACCATGTTTTCAGGCCACCTTTAATGCTTGGCCTGAAATAGAAACTTGGCCTGCTTAAGTTAGGTCTTAGGTCAGGTATAGGTCTCTAGTGTAAACACTGCTTAACTCTCCTGACGAAGGCCCTCAGTTCGAAATGTCGAGAAGTGTTTTTGCCTATTAGAGGCAGTAGTTAAACCATATTTGATGCAAAGTACTTGGATATACAATATTTTCGGACATAAAATCTGGCAAAACGTTATATTGGAATTTTAGGGACAAAATGTTAGTAACATTGGGGGCGTTATTAGGGTCCATTGCACTGACGTAATAATCATTAAAAGTTGTCCTCCAGATGTTTCCTTGCTTCACTAAAAATAATCGTTATGCGAGCGGTGAAGGTTTATACAACGGTCAAAAGCATTTAACGAAGCAGGCTTTCTCACACTAGTACACTAGTGAATATTTCTGTATTTTGGCCAAAATTTACGATTTTGAATTTGTCCTCGAGATGCCTAATGTGACGTTATGTGCAAAGGATCTATTGTATCATTTGTATTGATGATAAAGGTTTAGATAAAGGTTTAGCGCGGCTACAACGACGCCCGTCATTTCTGTTACCAAAACCCTGTTTACACGATTCAGGATAGCTTTTGGAAGACTTGTAATAGCACCACAAATCAGGGTGGGGTGGGGTGGGGTTTGCCCACCATATTTGCTGCCTTTCCCCCAGTTTTCCTCCCAAATCTTTTCCAAAATGTTTCATGTTATGTAAGCATGCAGTTTCTGGTTTCATGCTATGTTCACTTCACTTATAATAAGATATACCCCCCCCTAAAACCCCCAGTTATTTGAACCCAATTTCCCACCATTAATATTATTTACCAGGGGCCGGTTGTTGAAAGCTAGGTTAGCGCTAACCCTGGGTTAAATTTAATTTACTTCGCTGTTTTGGTTCATATGCTTCTGCACCGCTGTTTGTTCAAGACATCACAAAATAAGACTTCTATTGATCCACAAAATATTTATGAAAAAACATGTTCAAAGTTCTTCATAAACGAGAGAGCTTGAAAAAAATTGACGTGAAAATTTGAGTTGAGCTAACCGGGTTTTGAACAACCAGCCCCTTCTGCCATTAAGAAACAGAAGAGGATCACCATCCTCAATAATATAACTACAATTCTTATTGATGCGCTTCTGCATTCGTGAAAAGCACAAATTGCATGTTTCTTGACTATCAGTGTTATGTTATCACAGGTATTCCTAATAAAATTAATAAATTTTATTGAAAAATACTAGCTTTGAAACAGTGATCGCGAGTGCTGCCTCTTTTGGAGAAAAGAGATCAAGAATAATAGCTAGGGGCTGTCACTATTATTTAAGGTGACAACTTTTTCTGCCTACACACCAATTCCATGCGCAACCTTTTGAGTGTGCAAAACGCAGACCAATTAAAACAAGTCTGTTGTTGAAAAGAGCAAATCTTTCTTTTTATGATAATTCTTTTAGTTATATGCATGCAAATCTAAACCTTAAATTAAATTGCTATGTTTATACACATATTACAAATCTATTTCATGCTCTTTACATTAGAATATAAGACATACAATAGTATGTACATAAATTAATACCTCGCAGAAATGGTCCAAGACCGTTTTAACTGCCTCTTGCATGGTGTCATATTTTGTAACATCCAAAGGTAAAACAAGAAAATCTTTCTCAACATCTTCTTTTTTACCAGATATTTCTGAAATTAATTAAGTTATTTTAATATATTTCATTTCTGCCACAACATGATAACGAATTTATAAACAAATTTTTGGTATCAGGGGTAATATTGTGCTCATACTTTAGCTAATCGAAATAGAAATAATTTTTGCACTACTTAATCAATTATACCTTTTGTTACTCTTTATGGAACCAGTTGAACTTTTGTGATTACTGTATGTTTAGTTTAAAAAACTATACGGTAGCTCTGGCATAAATTTGAAACTGGAACTAAATGGGTTTTTTCACGAGATTGATTTTCATTTCCTGGACTTTCCTGCTAATTCAAGTCACCTGACCTGAATATAATATATAAATAAAAAGAAGCAAATATACTGCATTTATGAGGGTCCCTTTATTAGAACACACAGGTTTATAAAAAGGTTAGTAATTCCACTGATATTATATCTAGCTGTGACAAATTCTCAAGGTCACTAGTGCATGTATGTAGAAGTCCTAATTAAGAGAAATGTAGAATAGGAGTCATTCACTGATCTGAATTTTCAGATCAGTGGTGTCATTTAGTTTTTTGTTTGAATATTCCATGCAAACTCATTGTAAACTTTTACTATCATTTGACGAATATACTTGCATTCTACCTAATCTATGCTTAATCTATGCAGTAGATCACAACTGGGGGAGGGAATGGTGCAAAAATTTTTCACTATGTAGAAATGCATGGAAGTCTGGCTTTTCCCCACTTGTCATGCAGCCCTTTATATATATCTGTTTGATCAGTGTATAACTTAGATCAAGCAAATTACCCCTCCTAGTTCCTACTTTCTAGCCAGTTCCTTTATCCTCCTAGTAATTAATATACGATGATCAAGTGCATGAATATAAAAAATATTCATCAGAATGGAAGTCATGTGTTTTAGATAATCTTCTGATCTTAAAATTTGATATAAATCTTTCAAGGGTCCTGAAATTTGGTGAGACAATTTAAATGAATGAAGAATTCTGATAGAAATTGAAGATGATAATGAATGTTATCAAGGCAACAAATTGTTTTTATATTTTTGTTACTGTACTAATTAAATAAATTAATTTCTACTACTTTGTAAACATTAGGTCCCTTTTGTCAATTTGCACTCCCCAGGCCCTGATGGAAAACTCTATAAAAGGGTATAGCTATTTTCACACACCTAATTATATGAATGCCTAATACAACATAGTGTCATCACAGAGTAAAAGTTTGCATTGTCAGACCTTAATCAAATATATAAACCATTTGCTATTGGACAGGAAGGCCAATGGCAAATGTTTTATATATTTGAATTAAAAATACTATAAATTAAAATATTGAAAATTTGAAGAAAGCGATCATTCTTTTGTTAATTGGAATGTTAATTATATTTACTTGGCAAAATACTAGAATCTTGCATGTAGCCTACAATGAGCGATGTGCGAGCAATGTAGTTATAACATAGTATACTACATTGCTTGCATGCCGCTTGTTTGTAGGGCAACATGATTTTAGTATAATGCCAAGTAAACAAATCGCAAAATCTGTCAATTTCATCCTACGCTTTTTGGTTAATGACAACATGTTTAGGGTGATTGTAGTTGTTCATACAAGCAATACAGCTGTTTAATTAATAAAAAATGAGGTCCATTTCAGCCAAATTTTAAAACAACTTGATCATGCATTTTCAGGACAGAGACAGCTGATCAGGGCCTGAGACTGCAATATCACAAGAAACCCCCACTAATAAAATCATGCAAAATATCTACCTTCTGGTCTACCTCGTGTGTCTATACTTATTAAAAATACAAAATTTTCATTAGGCTTTGTAGTTTGTAAAGGTAGCTAAGGCCAGCATCAGGGGGTTCCTAAAAAATGATCTGTACGTGATAGTTGAGTCGTATCAAACACGGACTACTGTAACTCACCAATGCATTTTGCTTTGACCTGTTCCAATTTGTGTTCTGTTCTCGCCGAAAGAACCAACTTGCAGCCAGCACTTGCTAGCCTATAAGCCAATTATTCTCCCAAACCACTGGATGCCCCTGTGATCCACACAACCTGACCACGCAATTCATCAACCTTTTTGCCGAATAATTCATAATATTTTAATGTGAAATCTACTTTAACGTTCTTGTAAAGAAACACAAGGAATACAGTAAGTATTGCAGCGACCAGTAAAAAGAACATAGCAGATACTAGACGATATATTGCAATAAATATATTGGAAAGAGTGTTGTGACTTGTGTCTGATGTCTGGAATCTCGAATGTGCACAAATCTTTCGGTGGGCACACGATACAGTGAAAAGAATCCTATACAGATCAGTCAGTGTGCTAGTACTTAGGGAGGGGGTTAGCCTCAGTTAGCCTCCTCCGCAGGCATCTCTTATGACTCTTATGTATTTTAAAATTTAAAAATATGCATATTTGCCACTTAGGCAGGGGTTAGGGATGGGCTATATTATACTGTACATAATATTATACTGTACATACTACATAATAACATTATATCTCACTTTAAGATTATACCTCCAGAGAATCTTTGAATTAAGAATTAAAAAACGAGTCGCGTGCCTTTATGGTGTAATAATGGACGATGGGGGAATGTTGGGAGAATATGAGAGAAGCTTGTAAAACACGAGGCGTAGCCGAGTGTTTTACAAGCTTCTCGAGCAAAAATAATCTCTAAAAATATTTCTCGTTGTAAAAATACTTAAAGCAGCAAAACTACAGTTTTGGAGCTATACCAATTATTAAAAAAAAGCCCCCAGTAATCACAAATGTACCAAAGAACGGACAATTTTATTGAAAAAAATCACTATTCAAGGAATAGCGCTAAATCTTGCTATTGTACACCCGTCACTGCATTACAATAAGGAAAAGACTAATAAATATCTAGTTTAATTCTATTCATTCAAAAACGCAACTCTACGCCTACGGATTCGTAACTCATCTTGAGAAGTCACATGATTACAGTAAAATTTGATTGACCAGTCAATGAATATCTAATCTTCTTTCTTGGCTAAGAGAAAATAAAACAAAGATAATACGCAATTTAGGCATAATTTAGATGCCGCATTTAGTTTGGGTTAAAAGGCAGTAAAAAATTGATGAGATGATAATTTTAAGTAATCTTTGCTTTCTTACTGACAAGAAAGACAGTGATTAAGTAGAGCCGTAACCTGAGGTTTCTTAAATTGCAGAGTGTTACATGTAGGGGCATTTTTTATCAATTTGCAAAGAAAAATGAAATTTTTCAAAGAAAAATCAAACAAAAGCGAATGAAATTATTAATTGCATGTTTGATCATCTATAACCGCGAGGGTGGTTAGAATCTAAACACAATGATTACAAGAGGTGTCTGGCGGCTTTGTATTATTGTGCCTCGTTTAGGACGTTTCGAGTCTTCCCAGTCCCCTTTCCAGTAGTGAAGATAGCCGCACACGATAATTTATACACATTTGCGACATTCTACTTTGGGTAAACAAAGCATGGAACAAAAAGCGACTGAGACTAAATCAATATGTCACTTGTTTCCTTCATCACGACGTGCCCTCGAAGAGATAGATTCGCTAGGAGACAACGGGGTTGCCTATATCCTTATAATTTGGCTTATATATAATCCGATGTCAATTACTTGGTTTTCTTGCGGGAAAAATATACCTTTCATGTTCCGGGCTTTGGTTACCATTCGAAGAAGATTTCTTTTAAAAAACCTAAACAAGCAACGTAGATTAATAATAGAGACTTATTATTATCCAGTAAACTTCATCCCTGACCACCTGATCTACAATCTGTTGCGTCTTGTTGATCTATGCAAAATCAGCGCAATTATTAACAAAAGAATGTTTTCATTCAGTGATGCCTGATGGTCACGGCGTCTATACAAAGGTGATATTTTGAAAACAAAATATATAAAATAGCTACATGTTTTCCAAACGTAAACAAATATCTTGACAATTTTACGACGATTTAAATAAAACAATGTTTTGGGCACCGTTCCAAAACGTAGTTTTCTTTTCTCAACAGTAATCTGATAGTTTAATAATGCGAACCATTTTAAATGCGATAGGTCAATCTGATTAAAAAATCATCAGCAACAAAACAGATCGGCAGAAAGTAGTGGAAGCAAAAGCTTTAGATGTCACTTTGTATGCATACGCCACTTTGTGTCAGCCTGATAAAGCTGACAGGTGCCGATTTATTTAATATTAGCGTACTATAATACTATCCAGTATTTAGATTTTAGAAGATAGCTTGCGCGTACCATTTCGAAAAATACACATAATTAAAGTCACAGTCATGAAAATAGTTCTCTAAAATGTTTTTCCAGGAAAAGGAGAAAATCTGATCTCATAGTTATTTTTAATCACGTATGAGGACTACGAAAGTTTCTCAAAAGGCCGTTGTCAGGGGAGCGACGGTTACGAGCGTCCGAATAGAATATCACGATTTTAAATTAATATGGCAAACTCGTAACCATGGCGGAAGACGTAGTGAAGGGATACGCCAATAAAAATTATCTTTGTCTATAGTTTAAAACAACGTCATGATTATTTACAAAATTCGTTTACGGATTTTTGTTAACTTTATTACTTCTCAAGATATTTTCGAATGAAATTAACTCCCATCCACCATTTTGGATAACCATATTCTTGTTCTGATATGCGTTACGTCATAAGCTGAGTGAAAATTCGTTTTGTAACTTCCAGCTGATCTGAGATCGTGACGTCATAAAGCGTCTCGACAAAACTGAGTTATCATGTGCCTGGTGTTATCTGTCCTTATTCTTCGAGCTGATAGTATAAAGGGTGAAAAATTTAAATTCTAATATGCAGTTGGGAAAAAAATTAACGTGTTTTCACATAAATATAAAAAAAATTACTTGATATTTTCGAGTGTCGAAGTCATATGCAATGAAGGAAATGATAATTTAGTTTTGTCGAAGATCTGGCTTCTGATTGGTTGAGCTTTATACCCAGATCAGCTGGTTAAAGTTAACGATCCAGGGAAGTGATAGTTCCATGGTATTAGAATCGCACGTATCTTAAATTATAACGCTTGAATTGTAGGAGTTCTAAACTAAAGCGTAAACATGTAATTGTTATTTTTTGAGCGTCGACCTTGCTTTTACGTGACGTAATTAGATCTCATTATAAAACAAGATAGCGGATATATCTCGATTGCCAATTTCTTGCGAAGTAAGGAAGATGAACAAATTTTGAAAAGAGGCTCTATAAGAAGTGTAAGTTTCTTTTCAACATAACAGAAATAATTTTTATTGCCATATCCCTTTAAATAAATACAGCCAAGCTTACCAATTCGCGATGGAAGGCATATACTGAGAGACATATGTCGCTAACAATACAGGTTGTGGAGAGATCCAACATTCATCCAGTTCATTCACCATTGCAATTGCCATATAGTTTGCAAATTCATCGGTTTCCATGCGATGCGTCGAATCATATTCATATGGCGTATCTTTTACACTCTAATACACATTAAAAAGTCGCACAGTCCTGCACTTCATTTAATACTCCTGTATTCATTTTCTTCACATTAACCACAGTGCCAGAACAGGGGGAATTTCGCTTGAGACCAACAAGCAATTTTGTTGACATTTTCAGTAACCCAAACAGAATGCATTAATTTAAACTACTTCCGGTAAAAAGGTACATTATTAATTTTAATACATGAAGTATTAAAAATTTAGGCCTTTTGATTGGCTTTGCCTGAAAAATGTAAACAAATATGCCGATTACTTTAAAGCGAAATTCCTCCTTGTTCAGTGTCAAAGAATGACTTACATACCTTGCCCCATGTCTGTGTTGCGGCATTCTCCACAATAGCCGACTTTATTGGTCCTGGGCAGACTAATAAAACTCTGATACCTTTTCCATGAAGTTCATAGCGCAAAGCAGAGAAATACCCCTGAAATAGCGTTAAACAAAAAAATTGTTAATTGACTGGATAATTTTTCAGAAGCGCACGCGTCATTCTACGCAGTTCTACGCGATCCTGGTGTGTGTAGGAACTTTGTGCCCCTATGAAAAAGTTCTGTGGAAAGACGGTGCTCTTTCAAGTCACCATGTCAGAATAAATATCTATATATGTTTACCTGTAGTGCAAACTTTGTGCCAGAGTAGGTAGCAGATGATGGAGTACCTATTAAATTAACAGTGTAAATTGGGTAACTACTTTCACAATATGTATAACAGTCATAGAGTCAACCTATCTCATTTTTCCCACAATGGATACCATTACTATTAGCAGTTTCCAATATATCATGGCAAAGCATAGATGAAATTCAATAATCTCGGATGCCCAAGTGTATATCGTGGGATGCAGATTTGAATTTGCATGCGAGTCTTGCTCACGTCGGTGTAATACAGTTCTTATTTAAAAAGCCGAATTTGCAGTAGTTGATAAAGCATGCTGGAGGACCTACCGAATTTCCCAGAAACGCTGGAGACAACAACAATACGACCAGTCTTCCTCCCAATCATGTGCGGAAGAACAGCTTTAGTCAGCGATATTGTACCCAACACGTTTATCTCGAACAACTCTTGGTCCACTTTCCTCTCCGTGTTTTCAACCAATCCTCGCTGGCCCCTGCCACAGTTGTTCACTAGAATATCAATCTGTCAATAAATAACTAAATCATTAATGAATCAATCTTCAGTCAGGGGTGAAATTAATATATAATCGCTTTTCGCGTCGTGATCAATTTCTGCAAACGATTCTGCAAAACCTGAAGGATGTGAAAAGAGCCACTGCTTAAGAATTCGATTGGAAATCTACTACAGAACTTGTATGTATATACGTTCCAATATAACGAGCAGCGTCTTCAAATAACTTAGCATCAAATGTGGTATAACAACTGCCTAAAATAGACAAAAACACTTTTTGATGTTTTCACCTGAGGGCCTTCGTCAGGAGAGTTAGTATGAGAGTTAGCATGAGAGTTAGTATCCTCATACCTATTTTATACTAATTCTCCTGACGAAGGCCCTCAAGTCGAAACGTCGAGAAGAGTTTTTGTCTATTTTTGGCAGTTGTTACCACATTTGATGCAAAGTACTTGGATAAACAATATTTTCCGACATTAAACCTGACAAAACGGTACAAAATGTTAGTAACATTAGGGGCGTTATTAGGGTCCATTGCACTGGCGTCATAATCATTAAAAGTTGTCCTCCAGATGTTTCCTTACTTCACTAAAAATAATTGTTATGCGAGCGGTGAACGTTTATATAGCGGTCAACAGCAGTGAACAAAGTTTCTCACACAAGTAAATATTTTTCTGTATTTTGCCCAAAATTAAGCTACGTTAATTTGTCCTAAATGTGACGTTACGTGCAAAGGGTCTATTGTATTGATGATAAAAGTTTAGATCCCCAGCGACGCTACAACGACGTCTGTCATTTCTGTTTTCAAAACCCTGTTTACACGATTCAGGATAGCTCTCGCAAGACTTGTAATAGCACCACAAATCAGAGGTGTATAGCCTCTAAGGGTGGGGTTGGGTTTGCCCACCATATTTGCTGTCTTCCCTCCAGTTTTCCTCCTAAATCTTTTCCAAAATTTTTCATGTTATCTAAGCATGCAGTTATAGTTTTATCCCCGGCCCCTGGTGCCATTAAGAAACAGAAGAGGATCACCATACTCAATACTAAAATTATATTATACTACAATTCTTATTGATGCACTACTGCATTTGTGAAAAGCATAAATTGCACGTTTCTTGACTACATCAGTGTCATCACTAATGCACTCACATGTATTCCTAATTGAAAATAAACTACCTTTGAAACAGTGAATGCTGCCTCTTTCAAAGAAAAGAGATTAAGAATAAAAGCTAGGGACTGTCACTAATACAGGGTGTCCCATAGGACAAGTTCCCACAGGACAACTAGCTGTCTTGCTAATTGCCTCGCTAATTTCGATGATAGTTTGACTATACCACTGTGGCTGGTGCAAAATGACATCGTTAATTGTGGATTGCACCACAGTTCAGCTAAAATGACTTTTAGCATTTTAAATGAAGGATTAATTCAATTCCCAGAGGTGCTTATCTATTGCACTTTAGAGCTGTATTAATGTCTTGCATATTTAAGTGGTTGCGTTTTTTTTAGACACCCTGTATTTGAGGTGACAACTTTTTCTGCCTACACACCAATTCCATGCGCAACCTGTTGAATGTGCAAAACGCAGACCAAAACAAGTCTGTTGTTGAAAAGAACAAATATTTCTTTTTATGATAATTTTCTTTTAATTATATGCATGCAAATCTAAACCTTTAATTAAATTGCTATGTTTATACCTATATTACAAATCTATTTCATGCTCGGATCCTTACATTCACATTTAGACATACAATTGTATGTATGTACATAAATTAATACCTTGCAGAAATGGTCCAAGACAGTTTTAACTGCCTCTTGCATGGTGTCATATTTTGTAACATCCAAAGGTAAAACAAGAAAATCTTTGTCAGCATCTTCTTCTTTTTTACCAGATATTTCTGAAATAATTTTAATATATTTTATTTCTACCACTGGTCCACAACATGATAATGGATTTATATTTGTAACAGGGGACAGGGGTAATATTGTGCTCATAAATTTCAGCTAATCAGTGCTCAGATCGAAAGTTTGTTTAATCAATTATACCTTTTGTTATTCTTTATATATGGAGCCAATTGAAATTTTGTGATTATGTTTAGTTTAAAAAACTATACTGTAGCTCTGACATAAATCTGAAACTAAACTAAAGTATTTTTTCACGTGATATCAAGTTGTTTCAACTGGGAAATGGATTTTCATTCGGCAACTAAGTCCTGGACTTTCCTGCTAATTCGAGTCACCTGGATAAAATATATAAAAAAAAAGAAATATACTGCATTTATAAGGGTCCCTTTATTAGAACACACCGGTTAAAATGGTTAGTAATATCACTGATATTATCTAGCTGTGAAAAATTATCAAGGTCACCATATGTAGAAGTCCTAAGAGAAATGTAGAATAGTTGTCATTTAGTTTTTTGTTTGAATATTCCATGAAAACTCATTGTAAAATATTATTATTATTTGACTAATATATTTGCATTCTACCTAATCTATGCTTAATCTATGCAATAGATCACAACTGGGGGAAGTGTAAAAAGTTTTTCAATATTTATTCATATTTTTCTTACTGTACTAATTAATTTCTATTGCTTAATTTGTATACATTAGGTCCCTTTTGTCAATTTGCCCTCCTCAGGCCCTCAGAAAAATGTTTTAAAAGTGTATAGCTATTTAAACTAATTGTACTTATGGTACATTGTGCCTTATGAATGCCTAATACAACATAGTGTCATCACAGAGGTCAAATTTGCGTGTCAGACCTTACTCAAATATATAAACGATTTAATTGCTATTTGGCAGGAAGCCCAATAGCAATGGTTTATATATTTGAATTAAAAATGCTCTAAATTGGAAAATCTACCTTCGCATCTCTTAATACAATAATAAAAATACAAAATTTTTATTAGGCTTTGTAGTTTGTAATTTGTAAAGGTATAATATAAAAGCTAAAGGTCAGCATTAGGGGGTTCCTGAGAATGATCTGTGATAGTTGAGTCATATATCAAACACGGACTACAGTAACTCACCAATGCATTTTGCTTTGACCTGTTCCAATTTATGTCTTGTTCTCGCCGAAAGAACTAACTTGCACCCAGCACTTGCTAGCCTATAAGCCAAGTATTCTCCCAAACCACTGGATGCCCCTGTGATCCACACAACCTGACCACGCAATTCATCAACCTTTTTGCCGAATAATTCATAATATTTTAATGTGAAATCTACCTTAACGTTCTTGTAAAGAAACACGAGGAATACAGTAAGTATTGCAGCAACCAGTAAAAAGAACATAGCAGATACTAGACAATATTTAATGAAATAAATATTTAGGGAAGAGTGTTATTGACTGATGATTGGAATGTGACAAATATTTCGGTAGGCCGTGGGCACTGGGCACACGTACAGTGAAAAGAATCCTATATAGATCAGTCAGTGTGGTAGTACTTAGGGAGGGGTTAGAGTAGCCTTTTCCGCGGGCATCTCTTATGCATTAAAAATATGCATATTTGGCTTGGCTTAGCTGTGTCGGGGGAGCGAGAAAAAAAATATATCGTGGAGATTTTCCTCGCCTTCCATGACACAGCTAACCCATGCCTAATAACCTAATTAATAAATTATTCAGTGTGGTGTTTAGCAACGAAACCTTGCTGAACCAACTGCGCACTAAAATAGCCAGTTAAACGAGGGTGATTTTGTTCGATTTCTAATTCCTTTGTAGAAACTTGATAACAAATAATTCCAGCTTCCAGGCCAGAAGGAATTCTCACAACAATTTTGGCGGACTTCCTGAAAGGCATTTCATTTCGACGGCCCAATCAGAAATTTTCCGGAATGAACGCTTGTTTGAAAAGATTGTCCTTTCATACCGATTGGAAAGTCCCAAGCGGTTAATTTTGTTCCATTTATATTTTTTTACCAGTTCCAGGCTCCTCAAGATTAAATCTACGCGGTAATTTAAAACATCCGAATGTATCGTTTCAGTGCAATTCATGCCTCTTCAGCACTGGAGCACCGAATTTCGTACAATGATCTATGCCGAAATTTTCCATGCTGTATTGTACTACACACGTCTCTCATAATACCAAAAATAAAAAATTCTATAATGGCAAAAAAATTCGAAAAAATGTCATTTTTGCATTTTCAAAAATGTGGCATTCTAGAATTTTTTATATTTTGCTAATTGTTAGTTTTTCTTCCAAGTAAAATAATGCACAAAAGAAAAATGGAGGTCAACGTGCTTCTTTTCCAAATATCCGAGGAAATTGGACATTTTGTAGTGAATTTTGTACCCGTATGTCGCCATAGCAACGGAAGAGACATCAAAATATATAAAAACTCCAATATCTCTGGAATAAATCATAAAAATGCGTTGTTTGAACGTGTCAAAGTGATGAACAATGGAATTTTTGAAACTGATTTTCAGGCAACATTGTGGTATTTATTCAAGAAACACGACCGGAGGTAAACGTCTCATTTTGCCTCAACTTAATGGGGCAAAAGGAGACAAATATTAAACATACAGAAAATTTTAAAAATTTTGGAGTATTTTAAATACTGGGTAAAACGCGATAGGCCGATCGATATCTGTATGGGTGGTTAAAATGGAGTAGCTTAATGCATATTAGGGTATGTGTGTAACAAAGTGATGAATACTAAGATTAGTTGTATAAAAATTAATATATGAATTACTAATTCTAAAGACCTTTATGGAGAATTACAGATGTATACATGTTACGAAAATACTGCGCAATGATTGGAAGTTAGAATCATTAATTATTCATGAATTTCACAATTCCAGGATGAAAGTGAGGTTAAAAATACATTGAAAGTGAATAAGTTTATTAGCGTAATAGCAAATGTCATATATTACAGTTGTTGGTTGCACAGAACACTAACAATTTTCATGCAACCATTTTTCACATTTATAACACTGAACCCATGCAGTTCTCTCCAGGAAATGACTGAAACCGAAATCCATCACACATAGGACATATGCATTGTGAATCTTCCACAATTATCCATACGAATAACATTTTGGTTTTTGACAATTTCGTGTATCAGACCGACCAATTTCGCTTTCGAACCATTATAAAAATATCAATAAGTCTATTTGTAACTCGTCAACTGATAGCTCAAATAAGAGATACGCTAAAAGTAAATTAATATGTACCCACGTATTATTATTTCGTGATTTGAGATAAAATCTACTAAAATTTTTCATTAATATGAATTGTTTGAGCAATGATGCACATATGTAGGGTTGACAGAAGGCTAATACAGCTGGCTGCCCACACGAATACCTTTCATTTCGTATGAATCGAAGTTACACAACATCTTGAGTCCAGTGGGGGGGGGGGGGGTGTTCGTACTATTTGGAACTCTTCTCCACCTTTGAACTTCTTCAAGTCAGACTGATGCTCTCCTTGAAATTATGTTAAATGTGGTCTGCCATTAAAATAGGACGTAAACCAGCCTGGTTTCGAGAAGTTTGTAAAGATTTTACTAAATCAAACGTTTTCCGAAAAACAAGGAAAACAAGTCTAATATCCTAATTATAAGTAGGAAAAGAATGGTCAAGTCTTATCGACAACGGTCTTGCGAAGTGGTTTGCGAAGAGCTCAAATATTTTATTGCTAGGGTTTTGGTTTTTTAATTCTACCGTAAGTCGATTTACATCAGTTAAGAAATCATTTCTCTGTATTATAAGTTTTAACTATTTGCCTGGATAAATATTTTTGCCGTTTGTGCCTAGGCTACTGCTATACCTTTTAATGTTGATAATTATATGGAAAATAAAGTTTAAATAATATAAAAAGTATAACTTTTTTGAGTTTATTGTTCGACATAGTCGTGAATAAAACTGCTTTCTCCGACGTTTTTCTTAGTTAATTGTTCAACATTACCAAGATGCGTTCGGCGAACGGCTTGAGGAGTAGAAAAAGACGACACAGCTGTTTGAATGGTGTCGAGACCACGGACAGGACTCTCGTCAGCTAAAATACCTTTGGGCTGACCTAAATGCATAGAAAACTTGATTTATTTTGGTGCTGAAATACGAGGGTAGAAAGAACAAGGAAAAAAACACGCACAACTATACAGAAACCACGACGGAAGAAAATTAAAACATTGCAACAAATACAAAGGCGAGTGAAAATGCGAGCAAATATCAATAATTATTCTAATATTATTTCTTCTGATGCTGTTGCAGTTTTACTGATACAGCTATGGGTATTCTTTCCGCTATTGGTTCTTGTCATAAATACACGTGTTTCATCGCATTAATATTGCCGCAGCTATAGGTAGTACTCACGGCCGTTGCAATTGATACTTGTATGTTTAGTGCAGCTGCTATTATTGCTGTTAGTATTTATACTGTTTGGTCTCTTTACTGCGGCTGCTATTATTGCTGCTAGTATTTATACTGTTCTGGTATCTTTACTGCGGCTGCTATTATTGCTGCTAGTACTTTTACTGTTCTGGTATCTTTACTGCGGCTGCTATATTATTGCTGCTGGTATTTATGCTGTTCTGGTATCTTTACCGCAGCTGCTATTATTGCTGCTGGTATTTATACTGTTGCTGGAGTTTTTGCTGCAGCTGCTATTAGTACAGGATTTATTCTGCCGTTCCTGGTATCTTTACTTGCAGCTGCTTTTATTGTTTTGATACTGTACTCGAATTTGTGCTACAGCTGATATCAGTGCTGCTGGTATTTTTACTGTTGCTGGTATTTGTACTGCAACTGATAGCAGTGCTGCTGGTATTAGTACTGTTACTGGCATTTATACTACAGCTGCTATATAAATGCTGCTGATGTTGCTATCAGTACTGCGCTGGTGCTGTTGCGATTACTCTCGTATATTGCTACTGCTGTTTGTATTACAACTGGTTGTGTTGGTTCTGCTGGTACCATTGGGATTGTCGGTATTGGTACTATATCACTGCCATTTCCCTTGCAAAACGGTAACAGGACTCAGGTAATTTTTGTTACAGCGGGCCAAAATGCTAAGCATAATAATAACAAGTGATAAACACTGAAAAATACTGATAAGCTATATGCATTAGCTATTGGCATACAATACTTGAAAGGTAGTCTGTTATCATGCAAAAGTTAAACTACGTCACCAACGGGCCACGACTGACCAGAATACATACTACACGGAAATAGTACAAATGCATTCCTTTATGAATACAGAAATGTCCGCTTTCAAGGATTTTTCAATAGAATTACCTTTCTGAAATCTTCCTTTAATTGAATAGTTTATGGGCAATCTAGAGAGACGATTTGATGTGGGAATCATTTTCCGAACGTATGGAGTTGAGAAGGTATAGAGTAGCGGATTGATGCTACTATTGATGGGCAATACAAACACAGCCACCCAAGCATATACTTGTTTCGAAGGATCATATAAATTTCCTGTTAAAGCCAAAATGCTTAAAATTATCACAGGAAACCAGCATAGGAAATCTGTTAAAATAATGAACATCATTCTCTTTGCAATGGTTGAATCCTTCTTTACCCTCGTTGACCTTACTGAACGGGCGGCCTTGACTATGGAGCGGTACATAAACACATATGCCAGGAGAATGAATAAAAAAGAAACACCATTCAAAACGAGAAATACAAAAACGGAATATTCCCAGCCAGCTGGCCGATCGCTCGATAACTGGAGTGGTAGACAGACCGGTGAACGTCCAAAAAAGTGTGAATTCTGTTTATAATCATAGAAATATGCATCGTTTAGTAACGGAATGATTGAAATACAAAGTCCAATCAACCAAACAACGATCATTATGCCCCAAGCTTTCTTCATTGACCAACGTTGAAATTTAAGAGTAAATATAATACATATCATACGTTCTAGGGTGATAACAGTCAGAGTTAACACTGAAACCTCGCTTGATAGAGTAGAGATAACACCAGCAAATATGCACAAATTGCTTGCACGCCAGGAAATATCATGTTTGAAGTACACTCCGTTCAACACTGTGTCTTTATATGAAATAATCAACAAGTACACGCCCATTAGGAAATCAGCAACAGCGAGATTTGTTAAAAGAAATGAAGCCACACGATTGCTGTCCTTTGAAAACGATCGCCATACAATAACAATGAAGTTTCCAAGGAAGGCCATCAGACCAAGAATCCAAATTGAATATTTGAGCACATCATTTTTCAGAAGCTCATCACAACTTGAAAATCCTCCTTCAAATTTGGCAACGCACGAAACACCCGGGTTGTTCTGTTTTGCGAAACAACACAGCGTAAAATGATCCACTTTTCTAACAATAAATGCCAAAGGATGAAATATTAGACAATATAATTATACAGTATGTCCCACAAAAAATTGACACTATAATAATTATCATATTTATATGCTGAATCAACAGACGCATAGACATCAGTTTCTTGAATTTTAAATAATGAACTCATGGCTGACATAACATAGTCTTTGTAGTATAACAGGGTAAGTAAAATTTCATTCAACTCAATTTTTAACAGCAGTGTCGCGAGCATTATATCAATGTCCTTAAAACGGAAGACAATATACGTTGTGCATGTAACATGATTCAAGGCGTGATTTATTAAATAGTTAAATTTTTAAAGGCGCTCTTTATTACGGAACAGCCACAACTGTTGTTCTGATTTGGTGACATTTTCGGGTTTGTTCAGTCTTAAGTAAGTCATGCATGACTTAGACGTATTTTCACTATGCAAATGATATATACATGTACAGACTAATACAGTGTTGTAAGTGATATATATATATATATATAATATATTATATATATATAATTATATATATATATATATATATATATATAGAGAGGGAAAAAGATAGAAAGACAGAGAAGCAGAGATACAGAAAGGTGGGAAGAGGAAGGGGGGGGAGAGACAGAGACAGGGGGAAAGGAATAATTATGGCGAAACAGAAAGACGGAAAGACCAGTTTCGTTCTTCAAACATGGGCAATATTGAACTAAATTCATCACCAAAAGCTGGAATGACTGATTCATGATGTTTTTAATTTTGCAAAATGTTAAATTTGAAACACAAATACGTCAAGACTTACAAGTGCCGAAGTGACAGAAGATTTTGAAATAAATCTTGAGGAATTTTGTGTATCTGATTATTTGATATATCCCTGAATAAAAAAATATTCAATAGGCTTGGTCAAATTTGTGCACATTATTTTGCAACACTGGGTAATAATATATCAGTGGGTAAGCAAAAAAAATTATATAGATGCATGATACTTACAAGTCAACCAAATTTCTCAAATCATCGAACGATCCTGCTTCAATTTCTTTTATTTTATTATTCTGGAGTTTTCTTGAACAAAAAATTATTTTTTAATTCAATGACATGCATACATCAGCTGCATAATATGTGTGCGTATGTAGAGAATGAAGGACCCTCCACAACATAATTGTTTAATTATATCCAGACAGATTAAAATAAACACGTAAAGAAAGATAACTTTACTTTTGTTTCATTTAAAAAAAGCTACTGAAAAGTATTAAAAACGCCTTTTGAAAACTTTTATAGCTATGATCACTTTTCATCATTGTGAATCACGTCATAAACTTAACAATGTGTGTTTTTTCCTCTCAGTGGCAGTCCAGAAGAGTTCAAGATTTAAAAGTGTTACAACCGGCCAAACTCTAAAATTAATAACCAACATTTATACTTACAAAGTTACAAGTGACAACTTTCCTTTTAACCACGATTTTTTAACTTTTTTTAAATTGTTGTTTTTTAATATCCTACCAAACAATACAAAAAAATATATTAATATAAATACAAGGAAATCCTATTTATTTAATAAATAAAACATACAAAGTTTTCAACGCAGAGTTTGCATCAAACACTTTACTTCCCAAATTTGACAAATCATTATCATCAAGATACCTGGGAAAAATGAAATATTGCGCAATAATAATAAGTATAATAAAAAAATATAATAATAAAAAATCGTCCTTTTTGTGCTGTTTTAGCGAAATTTGAAAATTACATCAACTTTTTGTCGTTTGTTGGAAAAAAAACAATTATTCGGTCATGGAATTCAATGAGATCTATGCAGTTTGTAGCTACTGCATAATTTTTATGTCCGTGGACGAATATCATGCAATACAATTCATTACGTCTATCTCTTTGTAAACCAGGTGAAGTAAATTATAGAACGGTGACATGTATATATGAATCACAGGTAGAGTATGTAATCGATCAAAACGAAAATATCATAAATATTTCTTACAGATATTGAAGCTTGCGAAGATTAGAAAACACTCCATCTTCCAGAAATCTAATTCGATTCTTTCGAAGACTCCTGCGTAGATCATAATTGAAACGTGAATTACTAAACTAAGTGTAAACTTAATCAGTATCGAATTAGTAATTATAAATTATTATATCACTCACAGCAATCGAAGATAATTTAAATTAAGGAATAATGTCTTGTCCAACTTGTAAAGTCTGTTCATACTCAAATCTCTATATAATGTATCCATACAACATTGGTATACTTTACATGTGAGTTGTGTAAAGAATAGCACGGAAAAACATCTCTAACTTTAGATGAAATGATGAATTTTTCAAACCTAAGAATAGAATAAAATCATGGTAAAACTTACAACATTTCGAGAGATTTTACCCGCTGGAAAACATTTCTTGGTATGTCTTTAAGAAAGTTTGAAGGTAATCGTCTATAAAATATATAGTTTTAAATAAAAACAACATGTTAAGCATAGCTGTGCAGCAAATAAGTTAAAAGATGCAAGTTTTCACTTACAGTGTCCTTAACGATGTCAAATTATGAAAAGTCTTCTTATCTGTAGAGATTATCTTGTTGCCAGTAATACTTCTACATTTGTCAAAGAGAAAAGTGATACAAACGAAGGAAAAACAATCAAAGCTGAGGTAAAATATCTCCGATTATAGAAATTGAGTGATTGTTCCAATATTGACAGATCATATATCATGATGTGTTCAACTTACAAGAATTCCAAAGACGTAAGGTTGACGAATGTAGTTAATGTTACCAAGGCGTTGCCATCAAAATTTCTAGAAAATTTTTTTTTAAGGAATATAGTTGCTGCAAACTGATTAAAAACGTTAACAACGACATGCCTTACATTGCTGTTGTTTTCTTAGGAAAGTAATCTGGTATTCGTAATAAGTTTTCAGCATAAACATATATTTTTGACTTATTTAGACTGAAAGGATGGCAACGTAGTGTTGGTGAACAATCTGAAATAAAAAGATTAGTTGGTAGCAGTATTTTCTTCAATGTGAAGTAATGGGGCATTGACGAAGGGAAATGTACTAAAAGGAAAGAGTTCAAGTGTGATATATGATCAGCAGGGTGGTCACTATATTGGTCGAGATTATTCGGACATATTCATATACTCTGAGATCAGTCGGGCGTATTCATATATTCATCTGATTCCCGACGCGACTGGTCTCTTTTGTTCGCTATTGTTTCTACGGTTGAGCGAACATGAATACATAAATATCATATTTCCCTAAATTAAACTTCTAGTGATGATAAAAAAATGATGGCAAAGAGTTTTTCTTGAAAATGAGCTAATTTTTAGCATGTCTTATTAATTTTTTTTATGACCTACGAGCGGACAACATAAAGAAGAACAATCTATTTATATATACCAGTATTAGTTCATAGAATTTCTATAGTCATCCATTGAATAATAAATTACTTACCAATGATATCGTTTTTTCGACAAGAATCCTTGTCAACTGTAGGAAAACAGACATATTAATACAAATGCAACCTATTATTGAATTGGGCAATATTAAAAAAAGATTTTGGAAAATGAATGCTTACTCGATATCGCTTGGTAGTGGATTTTAAAACCTGTTCGAACTTGAGATTCATCTGATTGGAAAGTGACATAAACAACATTACGCGTGGACAAATACCCGACCGGAAAAGTATTACCACAATAAGAGGTATATTTCCGTGAAAGAAAAGTGTCTTTGAAAACAATCGAGTCTCTACTGCAATGCTTGGCATTTTCTAAATTCATGAATAAAACAGTCAGATTGATACGCTGGTCTTGAGGTACTTCAATTTTCCAAGAACGTTTCATGTTGTTCAGGTAAACTGAGGGATGATATGGTGAAGTTAAATATCCCGAGGAACTATTTGCCACATGTGTATGCCATTCTGAAATAGAAGAATGTAGCTACAATGTGTTAACAAATTTAAGATGAGACGAAACAATTAATTTGCTATACTAATAATTAGGTAATTAGGCGAAATCTTCAAATTTTGCATCTGCAATAGAGTAATTTGGAACAGGTTTTGTAAGCATTGTGTGTTATGTCTTACATATAATGTATTCTTCCCTCTCCCTCCCAATTATTCTTCTCTCGAGCTCTATATCTAGCTTGTCGTTAAAATTTTTCTAGTATACAGTCGTCTGTTACACTTTTTCATACAATCCATGTTTTAACATTGCAAAGTTCTCTACCTTGGGCATTCTTAGGAACAGAAGAACAATAACCTTCTGTAAAGAAAATGTTATCCACGTTGACCTCGCTTAGATTGGACCATAATGTCGCTGTTACGTGAACCTAATAGACAAAAATTAATGTTAAATAAAAACAAAATATTATTTAAGGCAAACAGAAAACAGGCAAGAGATAAATAGATCTTATTATATACCCTGAATTTTGAAACGAGTCCCAAGGAAAGCTGACCATTCTTCCACAAATCATGTTTTCTAGAACTTTTAACCGACCACAGCCTTTCTTTTACAGTATTTCTTGGCTCAATCCAAACATCAATTTGCGAATCCAGCCCCAGTAGGCGATATGTGAAATTCATACAAATGCCACGAACACTGTCAAGAGATGACCTCATCCAGGGGGAAACCAAAGTTGATGCGGAAGGAAACGTTATGGTTGAAGCGTTGCTGATTTTTCGACATTGGAGTCGAAAACCTGCAGAAAACAGAATGTTAAATATCCCTTATTGGATGCAAACATGCATGGCACCAATGGACGAATTGCGCTTTAGACTAATTTCTTACCTCGGCGATAAAAAGGGGATTTTCTGAAGAGTTTAGAAAGAGTTAGTATAAAATATGTAAAACTGCCAAGTTTGACTGCGAATTGTTGTAAAGTTGTCGATTTTTGTATACTTTTGTATTACGACCGGACGTTTGTAACTAAATTAGTTACACATTTCCGCACGTAATACAAAAGTATACAAAATTTGCCAACTTCGCAGGGCTTATTTTCCGTATTTTACAAAATTTCGCAGCCAAACTTGGCAGTTTTACTAATTTAAGTAAGATCTTTCTAGCTGGGGTGATTTATTTTCCTCTAGTTATTTCGATCAAAAGTTAGTTCAAAGCGCAAGTCGTCCATTATGGAATGCCACAGTCCGAGAATTATAATTATTAATAAAAAACCGTCAAGTTCAATCAGATATTGTGAATATATTATTCATATAATTATGTATATTACCTAGCTATTAATGTATTACAGAGAATCATCATTCCAGTGAATGTATAAATTTTTACAGGCCATTTTTTATTGACACACTATATAGAATATTACCTCTTTTCATGGAAACATATAAGAACAATAGCTATTGCAATGTGCGACGGTTTTCATACATTTTTAAAAGATTAACCCCCTTGGAAAGTGAGAAGCATGATGAGATATATAATATTTATTCTGATTGCGATTTATAAACCTCCATGCATTAACACTACGCGCAATTTTAGGTTTTGTGGGGGTGAAATTTGGACCAGCTACTTATAGCAGTCAATCATTTTCAATTTAATCCGTACCAAAACTGAAATTGACCATAGTGTAAACGGATAAATTTTGCACTGTTGAAATTTGGCTAACTACTGGGCAGTTTAAAATTTCATCCGTACAATTTTTTTCTGTACCGTATACCAAAAATTGTGCGCAGTGTAAATGGGCTATAGTAATAATTCATCTTTGTAATTCATCATAAAAACTAACCTTTCCCAGCAGTGCATTCACCATGATCCACTAGTTTTGCATGCATGTCTAGTTCAGAGTCTTTGTAAATCTCCATATCACCAGCTTCCCGGAATATACCGCATCCAGAAGAAAGTGCCAAGATTTCGTGCGCATCGATTATCTTTGACCACATGACAGGTTTCGTCATCTTTCCAAAAAATTGCTTATAATTGCTGCATTCAAATGAAGATTTTGTCTATAAAACAAGATGTAAACCGACTTTATACTTAATAAAACTAGTGTAGACATTGGCTTCATGTCTACAGCTGGATTCATGACAAGCAGTCCTGTAGCAAAGCCTGACCAGGGTAATTACTAGTTACAAGTGACGTTCTTGACAACACAAACGGCGTGAGTAACGTCGAAAGACTGGGTCAAGGATTATGATTGGTGAATAACAAAAACTTCCGATCAACGTACGTGTTGTCAAAAAATCACTTGCTCAAGCTCACTATTGCTTGCTTAGACGCTTGACTATATAGACAGGCCAGTGGCGAATGCATATAAGTTTATTTAAAAACGTAATTTGAATTTTTGGCATTATATTGTTCTCAGCTACAACGTCTTAATAATCCCAATGAACTAATTCTTGGAGGTATAATGAAGGTAATTTACTACCCATTCAGGCCAAAATTGTATAAATTATTCAGCGCAAAATAAATTATACTTATATTTATATCACCTGCAGTGAACCAGGAAGGTGAAGTGATCAATCGCTACACTGAAGGACACATCA